AAACTCTAAAATTATGTTTGGCAGGAGGAAAAAAGAGGGAGGGAAAGGTGCGAATGGAAAATTATTTTTTATTATCAAAAAAAAGAAAAAAAATACTTTTTCAACAATTTCTTTGTTTGATAAGAAAAAAATTTTAAAAATAGTGAATTTACACATTTTTCTTAATTTCGAATATAATATTGTTAAATATGAAAAAAAAATTACAATCTTACAAAAAGAAAGGCCCTAGATAAGGTTGACCAGGATTTTGAGTAAAATTCATAAAGAAAGCTAAATAATTAGAGTTCTCTTTGATAAATTTAATGTTCTACAAATGCCAGTGGCCTTTCAGAGCTTTTTGAGAAGGGTGCTGAAACTGAATGTTTGGTTTCCTAGAAAAAGGTTCATCCTGCTAGGAAATAAATTGACCCAAAATCGAAAGAAGAATCTTGCAAAGGGCATTCAAAATTGGGTAAAGAACAAACTGAAAAAACTGCCAGAACTTGAAGAAGATTCACCACTTATCGGTAACAAAAGTGTGCAGCTCTCTGTGTGTGTGGAAACCAGACGCTGCATTACAACAAGGGGTCCACAATCCCTTTTCCATGATTAGACGTGTCATTTTACCATTGCAATGATTCATCAGGGGCTCACAAATAATGTCCATAATGCTAAACCCACTAAAGCCCACCAGCACCAGCCACCGCGGCCCCACCCCACATCGGCTTCGGTCTCCAATCTCAAACCCCATCACCACGTTCGCAAAATTTGGATTGTCCACCCTTCTCTTCCTCTCCGGACTTCAATTATTTGCTCGAGCGGATGCATTGAGAAAACTAATTACTGTTGTTGATAAAAAGTGGAAAGTTGTCATTGTACGCTTGGGAGCCAGTCTGGATATGGACCAGTTTTCACCCTTCCAAGGGAAAAAAAAAGATTGAAGATTTAAGAGCAAACAATTAATACTATTATAATCCACATATGTTAGTTCAATTGATAAGATATGAGTTTTTTTAATTAATTTGAGTTCATGAAGAATATTTTGAGAATATAATCTTAATGCATCAAATTAAACTAATACGAGACAATACACTTTTAAAATCACCTCAAGGGAATATTAGACCAAACCTGAAAAACCCCAACTATTTTATAAAAAAAAAAAAAAATTGTTAGAAAAACTAATATAAGCGTGTTTGAATGTTGAGCATTTAAACAATGTGCTTTATCTTAGATTATCCAGCAAGAAAAAGTGAAAAGTAGTTATAGAACAACATTTGGTTCATTAAAATTCCACTTGAAATATTTCAAGATTAAAAGAATGTTAGAAGGGCAGATTCAAAATCATATTCATAGTCCCAATTAATATTCTGTTGCGTTTTTACTAGCTAGAGGGTTAGGGTTAGATTAATTAAGGTGCCTAAGAACATTTTACGATATGCAAAGGAGAGTTTTTTTTTTTTTTAAGGCTTCAATTAGTATTGTGTTTGGTTTAAACTCAGTTTTGAACGCAATAGCAATGCTAAACATATTATAATTTGCGTTAAAGTACTTTTTAATCACTAAAAATGAACCACTCATGAAAGTTAATTAAAAAATATAATTGCAATTTGGAATATTTTATTTGCAAATAAAATAATCAAATACCCACTCAATTATTTATTGTTAACAAAAATAACTTATATTTTCTTGTCCAACATCATATCCTTTTTAGATATCTTAAATTTTCAGAGTAAATTTTTTCAGTAATGTCAAACACTAAAAAAAATTTTAAATTATAGTTTATCACAATAATTTTTTATAGCACTTTTCAAATATATTTTTTTTAAATTAAGCTTTTCCAACCACAATAAAAATGCTAAATTAGGCCTTAGATTTTAAGGAGAGAATTACCAAAGATTAAACTTAAGAAAATGGATGGAGATTGTGGTGGCTCTTTATGCCAACTTAAGGCTTTTTTCTATGTTATAAAATGATGGATTAGCTCACTTTTCCATAGTTTTAAATTTAGGAAAATCAAGCTTAATGTGCTTAGATGAATGGGAACACTTTCAAAACATGATTATTGGTATATATTTATGTTATCTCGAGAATGTTTTGGCAAAAGTAACTCATTGATCCCACTCTTTTTCCTCTAGATCTTTCTAAGTTCCCAATTTTATTTTTTTTTTAACTCTCAAGCTTATTGTTTTAGTGCTTCTTGCACCAAAGAATTAATGATGGTCCAAAGAAAAATTGGTTAACCAATATCAAAGCATCTCTTACATGATCTGATAATGTTTCTCCCCAATACCCTTGGGTTATTCTACAAATCATCAATAACATCATCATTAGGACTGCAAAGACATGTAATCTTGACTCCACTTTTTTTTTCTCTACTTGAATATATAGATTTCGTGAGTATAAACACATCATTTTTAATGATTGCATATCTTATCTTTAATCTTAATTGGGACATGAAAAGTGAATGAAGTCTTGGAGCAACCTTTCTATAGCATAAATGTTGGCAATAACAAACATCTAATTGCCTCCAAATGTTTTTTTTTTATTATTAAATTTGCCTACAAATGTTAGTTGAGTTAGCTAGGGAAAGAATTTCACTTATTTATTAATTGAAGTTTGATAAAATTATGAATACATCATATTGACACAAGAGAATAGAACACGTACGTCTTTCAAATAGTTCTAAAAATAAAAGTATAAGCTAAGAGAGTGTTTAATATGAATGATTTGTTTAAAAACTATAATGATCTGTATTTAATAATCACATCACCTTATTTGGTAGTAATTTAAAAATTTTAGTGACAATGATCTTAAATCACTAGGATGATAAGATCATTACCTTGAATTTGAGAGATGATATGATTCTCAACTTAAAAGATAAAAAAATTTTTATCACCATAAAAAAGTAATTTTTAATATTATTTTTCGATTAATTTACCCTAATGAAAGATGTATTTAATATTGTCTTAGAAAGATAATTAGTAAAAATTTTCAAAAATCTATTTTTTAATAACTTATTTTAAAAAAAAGTTTTCTTTTACAATTGAATAAATATTTATTGATTATAAAAATAATGAAATTATTTAATAATTTTTTAAAAAATTATTTTTTTTCAAAATTGATTTATATTTTATAATATTTTATAAAATAACATTTAATTATTTTATAATTATCGATTCAATAAGTATTACATTTTTTATTTTTTTGTAAGATTATTTTAGATATTTTATATTCTATGATTTATTTTTTTATATAATATCAAAAATAATTATTTAATATTATTAGTGATTTATAATATTATATCAAATATAATAGTTTAAGATATTAATAATCAAATTATTTTAATAATCTTATTATTATGATAATTAAATAACAATAATAATTTTAAAAATAATATTAAGAGAACAATAGAGATGGAAGTAGAAGAAACCCAACCTCTTGCTCTCAAAATTCTTTTCTAATTTTCCAAATAAAAACAGTTGATGTTAGGAAACTGTGCAGTAGAAGTCCTAGTCAAAATGATGTGCATTGATGTGTTGAAAAGTTGTGACTAGAGAAAAAAAAATGTGACAGGCCCCAAACTCGCAATCATTTCTCATTTGAACACTCATCTCTAATATTCTTCCGGGTCCAACCGAAGGAACAGAAGCCAATTCGACATAATTATTTTTTATTTGAATCAAAAAATTAATTTGCCTCATGATTTGATTAGATCTTCACGCACCATTTGTGACTGAGACTGATGGATCGAACTGAAGCCGAAATCAGATATATGTTTAGCCATCAAATTCCACGTGCTTATTCAGGAAAAAAAATAAAAACATAAAAGAAACTTTGCCTGGAAAGTTTCTGTTAAAGCATAGAAATTTTGTTTTTTGCCTCTTCTCTTTTTGGGCTTGAAAAAGGAATATGGAGATTAATGCATGTTGGACTTATATAGTAAAATAATTTCTAAAAGGAAGAGTGTTTTGGCCCAATTTTTTTTTTCTTGGAAGCATTTTCGTGAGTTTAAGAGATCCAACGTTCTCCAATCTAAAGTCCATTGCTCTACATGTCATGAACTTAGTTTGTCAAGGTCGCAAGGGTTAGATTGGCTTCAAATTTTCATCTAAAAAGTTTTCTTTTTATAATTTAAAAACTTACAGCAATTATTTGGAATCAAACTTGTACATATGGACATCTGTGTATGTAAAAGAGTATACGTGTGTGTGCGTGCTTTTTTTTTTTTTTTTTGTCTTTATTCTCTAGCTAACAACCTGTTTTGTTTGTTTAAAAATTAAATTAAAACGTTTTGTAAAAGTACATGGTAACTGTCTATAATTGTATAAAATGTTAGTAGAATAACAAACTTTTAATTTTAGTTTTTAAAATTTAATTTTTAATAATTTCAAATATAAAAAAAATAATAATTCCATTTTCTTTTCCTACTTTACAACCAAATAAGAGAAATACACATTCAATAATTTTTTTTTTCACAAATATTAGGATAAGTTATATTTTTGTCAACTCTCAATCTTTTTTTTCCAACGTACAATATATGTTTTTTTTAGTATATTTGATAATTTCTATATTTCTATATTTTTATTTTTCTCAATTGTTGTTTTGTTTTAATTATAGTCTTTACTAGCTCTTAAGGTCAACCTTCAAAAGGCTCGAGATTTGGATGGTATTAAAATTATTGTTGTATATATACAAGTGCAAGAAAATTTTCATCCTAAATATTAATTTTTTTTTGCCAAGTCCCATCCTAGATAATAATTATAATAATTATTATTGCATTTGGGGTTAACTAATATGTATTAAATTTTAATTATTTATCAATAAATTACACGGACACCTTTAAAAGTAAAAAAAAAAAAAATCTAAAAAATTTAACAAATCCAGTAAAAACGGAAATAACAAAGCAAAAACATAGCCCAATATCCCCCATAGCCATAAGCCCATAACCCAATACGTCTAGGGAATCGATGGTAAAATAGGAAAAAGCAAAGCCCTAAACTGCAAATACGGTAGATTTAAACAAAAGCGTATCCATTGACCGTAAATACTGGGGAAAGATTTAGGCTACGCCTTCTTTGTCATTTCGAAGACAGAGAAAAGAAAAAACAACGACCGAATAGGCTTTGGTCCTCTCTCCTGAAAAATCGTCAACTCCTCGTCTCAAAAAAATAAATAATCTTCTATATTTCAACGAGGTGTTTAAGTTTAAGGATATTTATCATTTTGTCGGATTAGATTTTTATTTTTATTTTTTTAGATTTTTTGTATTTGTATTTTCGGCTAAGTAGATCAGGAATTGTTTTATAAATCGATTGGAGAAAGAAAAGAAAATTAAAAAAAGGGAGAATTGATGGATGGAATAATGAATAAGCTAAGGAATTTAGATGCGTACCCGAAGATAAATGAGGATTTCTACAGCCGTACACTCTCCGGTGGCCTTATCACTCTCGTCTCCTCCGTTGTTATGTTTTTGCTCTTCTTCTCCGAGCTCCGTAAGTTTCTTTTTTTTTCTGCTCAATTATTTGGATCTGATTGTTTTTAGTTTTTTTTATGTGTTGGAATTGAGTTATTTGAATTTTGTTTTTTGATTTTGGAAAATGATGGCATTTTTAGGTGTGAACTGTGATTTGATTGAGATGTTAGGTTAAAAGGAATTGATTGCTTAGCAACTTAAACATTATGAATTAGTAGTGATTTATCCTAGAGAAATTGTTAATGCTTTTACTTAAAGGCTAGTTTTCTATGACTGTTTGAGAATTCATTTGATCGGAATCTAATGTCCTTGCGATGATGGCAGTCATCTGGAATCATATGCTAGCTGAACTTCATTTATAGATATGCATTTATTTTAAACTAAATATGCTGAACTTCCATGAGGAACAATGCTTAAGGGGTTGTTTATTAATAAGGAGAGATGTGTAGTTCAATGTATTCTTGTTGGAGTAGTATGGTGGAAGAGCTGGTAAACATGACCTCTTGTTTGCGGATGGAACAACTGATAATCCATCTATGAAGTCATTTGCACTTGATCATGTTTTTGGTAATGTTTGGACAGGAAAGAATGATCACATGTTATTGCCTAGGGAGGTGCCTATCACCCACATTTTCTGTGAAATCAGTGGAAGACACTTTGCAGGCTCTTTTCTATGGTTAATATTCTGTATTTGCAGACATGTCAAGTAGAGCAATACCATAAATGAGGCATCTTAATGATAACAAATGAAATTTTTTTAAAATTTGGTGTGTTCTGGACTTCATTCTAGGAACATTGTATTTGTCAATAATCACTTGCACCTTCATTGCTCAAACACAATGCTTGTGCTAGTTTCAAGTTTCATTGATTATGGTTATTAAGATTTTATTGATGGATGATATTCTTGTATATGAACTGTGTCTGGTCTTGGTTGCAGGATTATATCTTCATGCTGTGACTGAAACAAAGCTTGTGGTTGACACTTCAAGAGGGGAAACCCTACGCATCAATGTAATGTCATCTGCTAATCCCACTTTAACTTCAAGATTTCCCTTTCAGCATTTTCCCTGTGGCCTTAAATTTGACATAAAATTTTCTGAAGATTCTTCTTACCCTTGCAAGATTTCCTGAAGATTCTTCTGTGGCCATTTTTCATGTTTTACTTGTAAATTGTTTTTATATATTTTGAATCAGATTATTCTGCATTATCAGAAGGAATATAGATATTTTATCACAAATTTATAGTGTTTCTTTTCAGTTTTATTCATTGTACAGATGAGTGTCCTTTGGAATTATCCCCCCTAATTTCTTTATGTTCCTTTTGGATTTAAAATTGCAGTTTGATGTCACATTTCCTGCTCTTGCATGCTCAATCCTCAGCCTTGATGCAATGGACATAAGTGGAGAGCAACATCTTGATGTGGTATGTATTGCAGGGATTCATGGTTCTTTATTCTATATTAATGAGTTTTTTCCCTCCATCAAGTGTCATAAGGGAATTTTCTAGTCAACTCTCTCTCTCTTCATGGGTGTTTAGATGAGCTTGCATATACAATATAGACAACTTTATGGCCATGCATGTGCATCCAAACAAAACTTACTCATTTCTTCACATGCTACTAAAATTGTCCAGCTGTGGCTTTTAAACATTTATTTTATCTAACCTGCAGAAACATGACATAATCAAGAAAAGGTTAGATGCACATGGCAATGTCATAGAAACGAGACCAGATGGAATTGGTGCTCCCAAGGTTAGCTAGATGGCAATATTGTTTGAAGTTGATTTCTCAGTTAAAATTTTTTTCTTAACATAAAGGATCTGAGTAACCACACATTCAGCTTCTTTTTTTTTTTTCCTTTGCCTTTGCCTTTTTTCTGCCCATAATTATTTTGCTTCACACAGATTGAAAAGCCTTTACAGAGGCATGGTGGCAGGCTCGAGCACAATGAGACATATTGTGGTTCATGTTATGGTGGAGAAGTGGTATGCGTCATCTATCTGGTTTCCGTCTGCTAGTTCATTGTGATATATGTCAATCCACTGGGTGCATGTTTGTCCTGAATATGAAGGATCTTTGATTTTGTTTTTATAGGTCCCAGTGCCTTGTCCTCTTAATCGTAATATAAGTGTCATTTTGTCATCTTTGCCTAAGTATAATATAAACATTTGATGTAGTATTTATTCGACATTGGTGTTTTTTCTTTTGGCTATTTCCTCAATTTCTCTTGTTTTGGTTGAGTTTTATTCTGGACTTGAAGAGGATGTTGATGTGTTCCATATTTAGGTAGTGAATAATCATTGAAAACAATCGGTTATAAAATGTACTTTTTTTTTGCTCCAGGTATGATGTAATTTTCCCTCCCTAAGCATTCTTTTCCCTTTCCATCTTTTAGGCTGATGATGATTGTTGCAACTCCTGTGAGGATGTTCGTGAAGCATACAGAAAGAAAGGTTGGGCTTTGTCAAATCCAGATTTGATTGACCAGGTCTGTCTGCTTAAGAACTTAAACTCTTATCTGATTTTTGAAGGAACTTCAATTGGAATGAGACGGACATAGACAGATATGCTGAGATAGAAAATGTTGATTTTGCCTTTATCATCTTTGATATTGGTAGTCATGCTTGTACTACGTCGTTTTTGTTTTCATATGCTACTTAGCATACACCTAAACCTCTATTTTCCCCTCCCAATAATGCCTATTGAGTATTGACCCAATTCCAGATCCAACTCCCCCAGAGCCTCTGTTTGGACTGCCATGGTGGCAAGGAGAATAGTTATTTGTCTAATAATTAGGTAATCAACATGGGACTTTGCCATGCCCACTTCTTGTTGCATTAAAAAGGTTATTATTTTTCAGTAATCTTAAGATAAATCTTAATTTGTTATCTTATACCAGTACAACTACCAATATGGTCTTTGTTGTATACTAATTGAAACTTTTAGTTGTTGATAATTGATACATGCAAAAAATACTCAAGTTTGCCTGAGTCAATATCCCAGCGAGCAACACTATACTTGTCTAAGTGTATTAGTATTTTATTGCTTTCTGGTCAGGTCTAAAGATTTTGTCTTTCCCCGCTTTAATTCTGGTCTTTTTCCATTTGACCTTCACTTAATGTGACCCTGGTTTATGCCTTGATTTATGCTTTCTTGTTTCTGCTGTTTTCTGTTGTTCAGTGCAAGAGAGAGGGTTTTCTTCAGAAGATTAAGGATGAAGAAGGTGAGGGGTGTAATATATATGGCTTTTTAGAAGTTAATAAGGTGGCGGGGAATTTTCATTTTGCACCTGGGAAAAGCTTTCAGCAATCAAATGTTCATGTACATGACTTGCTTGCATTTCAGAAGGACAGTTTTAATGTAAGATGTAGCCCTATTGTGTCCTTTCTTCGTGTATGTTAGCATGTCTTACCTGAAAATGATTTTCTAATATTTATCATGCTCATGAATATTTGATATAGATAAGTCACAAGATCAATAGATTAGCTTTTGGAGATTACTTCCCTGGTGTCGTGAATCCTCTTGATGGGTACTTGCTAACTTTTTCTTAATCGTTTTACTTTGGCCATGTACACCAGCTGGATGTTGGCACATCTTTCTTGTATTTTGTTCTTTTTTTTTTTGTTCTAAATTTCAGCATTCACTGGACGCAAGAACAACCGAGTGGAATGTACCAGTACTTTATCAAGGTTAGTTTTCTATAGTGAATGCAACTTAATTCTTTTTTTATCATATTGTTCAATCCCTATTAGTTATCACATCTATCTGGTAATAGAAGCCAGGACATTACTCCTGGATCTAGACTATTTGCCTTTCAGTACCCTTTTTAAATGCTTTGGCCTATAAGTGTATGCATTATGTGACATTTCCACTCTTAATACTATGTATATAAATGTTATGAGATCATATCAAAGTTCTAAAATTATTATCAATAGAAACTTTGACAATTTTGATAAGGTTAGTATGTAACTGCCCCTCGTTGAACTGCCATAATGGCAACGTAAATGGCACAATGCATTAAAAGTCTGCCTGATTAGCTAATCGTTTTAAACATAGTGCATGTTATCAAATTTATTGAAGAAACAATTCCATTTTCAAATGCTAAAGGCACTAGCAAACAGATCAATAAAGATAAAAATGAGACCCTACCGAGTATATGATTTACTATGGTTGAATTTTTTTTCAAATATAAACTAAAAACCATGTCTTCCACCTTCTCTATGAAAGCAAGAGAGAATGACACATTCTAGAAGACTGAGTTGCGGGGATTCTTACTAATTTTGTAAACTCACTGAATTGATGGCACAAAGTCATATCTTCAGGTTCATGGGTTCTTCCTTTTTGTCTCTGATGCACGTAGCTTATAAAGTTTCTAAATGAGCTTTAAATAAGAAAAGGTTCTCTTAGGTTGAGGGATTTTCAATATACATTCTGTCTTGTAGGTGGTACCTACCATGTATACAGATGTGAGTGGACACACTATCCAGTCAAATCAGGTGTGGCTAGAACTTGCAAAAGATTTGATTTGATCTCTTCTTTCATTTAATCAAAATGATTAATGCATGAGAGATTGCTTTTGGCAGTTTTCTGTAACGGAGCATTTTAAGGGTGCAGAAATAGGCCATCTTCAGTCCCTACCAGGAGTTTTCTTCTTTTATGACCTTTCTCCTATCAAGGTTGGTTTTTTCTCTGCTTTTGTTTTTATGTAATATCTTTATGCTATAACATTTTGATGTCTTAGAGATGCCTCATCACTTTCAAGGTTCTTTTTAGTTTTTTATTTTTATATTTATGAGGGAATCTAAGGGGTCAAGCCTTAGATCTAAGATCTCTTGAAGAGGTGTAATAAATGTTAGCCTAAGTCTGGACTGTTTTTAGTTGTTTCATTTGATTCCTGCTAATTCTCTGAGCTTGTTTTCAACTTTATTTTTCAGGTGACTTTCACAGAGCAGCATGTCTCATTCTTGCACTTTCTAACAAATGTTTGTGCTATAGTAGGAGGTAACGATCCTTTGCCCGTGACATAATCCAATTATTCTTTCTCACTATTTAAAACTAAGAATAGAAGACATGCACGATATGTTAATTTTAGATTTTTTTTTTGTATTCTGTTGCTTTGACAAATGAATAGTAAGTTTTTTTTCCTTAATGAACTCATTCATTTATTTGATCAACTTCATACGAGGCAAGAGCCCAATATCTTCCCATATCTGACTTCTAAAACCTAAAAATGACGTCACAAGTTTAAACACTCATCCTCTGAACTTACAATTTTAAAAAAATGAAAATTGAAGGTCATATTTATGTTCTGTATGGTGGCACACATGTAGAACTTTTGGTAGTTCCTCAATTATCTCTGAATAACTGACTGAGCAAACTATGCTTGAAAATTTTATTTTTGTGTATCAAAACAGATGGTCTTTCCAAGTTTTTCATTGTCTTTATTAAATGCTAGCAATTTTCTCCTCTCAATTTAAGTCGAGGAAGCTTTAATTCCAACAATATGGCTTTGTCAACTGATTTATGGAAGGTTTTAAATTACTTAACAATTACATTATTGAATTAGAGTTGTTGAATATTTGTTCCAATTTTTTTTATTCAGGTGTTTTCACAGTTTCGGGAATATTAGACTCATTTATATACCATGGTCAAAAAGCTATCAAGAAGAAGATGGAAATTGGTAAATTAAGTTGATGATTTGATGGAGCTGGCATGAAATCGCTGCTGTTTCACCATCTTCCGGTAACAGGTACTTGGAGAAGATCAAACCAAGTAGACGAGAAGACCACTGCAACGCACTTACCCCTGTTCAGCTATTAGCTTTCTTGGTAAACATGACCGAAATTTTGTTGACACATTCTATGGTTGAATTAGACTGATTTCATAGTTCATTTAAAAGATGCCTTATTACAAGTTTGAGTAGTCTTTGCGACTTGGCCCCAAAATCATCGAGTCCGCAAAAAGGCGTTTGGATATTGATTACATGTTTGAATCTTCCTGAATTGGATACATTTTATTTTTCTGTTAGCTGTATCACAATGAAAATCTGTTTGAAGGTAAGAGGGTTTCCACGTGATTGATATGATTTCTAGAAAACTTCAAGGTTCAGGCTGGTTCAAAGCTATCAAACTTCTCAAAGCCTTAAAATAATAAAAAGAAAATACAAAATAAAACGGTGGTCAAAGCTTTGCAACTTCAAATTTTACTTAACAAATCATGACTTGTAATGTAAGGGGATGGCATTTTGCCCTATAAATTGATTAAAACAGGACTTCCGGTCCGGATGGGTTGCGGATGGATATCCATTCCCACACCATCTAAGGCAGATTTATGGGGGGATTTCTTTCTAGCAATTTTTGCCTTCAATTTTACTTTTTGTACTTGTATTTTCATCTCTTGAAGCACAAATGAGATGAGAAAATTTTCCTTCTTTAATTCATTCCTTTTTCATACCCGTCCATTTGCTCAAATTAAAAAGAAAAAGAATTCAAAGGTGTCAATAGGGGAAAATAAAGAACAAAGCATGAAGAGAGACAACAGAATATGAGGATGGGATGTGTCACTTATGTCTTCATTTGCTCAAAGAAGAGAAGGAAAAAAAATTATCATTTCAAATCTAAAACCATCTCAATAGTTAATCCAACTTGAATCTTTTTTCATGCATTAATTGAGTTAAAGGAGTTGATTTAAAATTTTCATTAACGATTGTCTTAAAAATATTTTTTTAAGATTATTAATATTAAGTAAAAATGTTACAAAATTAATACATTAAGTATATATCAACTATTATATTATTATAAATAATATTTTAATTAATCTTTAAAAAAAGTTTTTAGGTCTCTCGTTAGTAAAGGTGCGATTTAAATCATGATTATATTGAAGGCTTTTACTTACGGATGATAGTTTGATCTTTCAAAAAGAACATAGAGAAATGGAAAATGTAAGTGGTGGGATGTGTGATTGTGAGGCAAAGGATCACGCGTGCCTCCATGACCGTGACGGGATGCAATCAAAAGAAAGGGGCTGTTGGTAAACGCTTTGCTTGAAAGTAAAGCCGTTGTTTGTGTTGGACAAAATCTTACGATTTTGTGATCCAAGCCCAGGCAGATTCATTGAATAAAGCTTTAGAATACTACTAGATTTTGCTCCGAGGAACAAGTTCCCCTGCAAGATTCACCGTAATTTGGGTAAAATATTTAGTAAAGGACATAAATATAATACTAACGTTTTTGTCTTCATATATATATATTAGTATAATAGTAGCTGGTTTGAAGAAACCAAGAAAACCCTTGTGCCAAGCTCGTGACCTCAGAGCCAATTTTGGGATTGAAACATTTTTCAAGGCATAAAATATTTTAAAATTCACAGTTCAGTAACTTGTCTGTAAACGGCAAATTCGTGGAAGCAACAAAAATGTTTTGAAAAAATCTACGTTATTTGGTTGCCGACAGGAATCCTGACGGTTCTGAAGTCCAGTCGATGCTGCGTGTGGATTATCTGGTGGTGTACCACTTCACGACCTTTAAGCAGACTTCAATTGTTTTCAATTTTCAAGCAGCAGATTGATGAATAGCTAGAACAAATCTTCCACAATTTCAATTATTTTTTTATAGGAACAAATTTCATTCAATGTTTTAACCTATATCAATTGCATCTTCAAGTCAGCAATTCACAACCCAAAAGTACTACTACCATAATGAAACGTCAAAAATCAGAAATATAGTGAGCAAAAGACTATGATAGTAACACATAAAAGACCATAAGTAATAATATTAATAGATTCAATTACAAAAGTTATGAAACTTCTACGGACACTAACAAATTTCTCCCTTGTTCCAGAAAGAGAAAAAGGAGCTGGCCACCATGGAGAAGATCTCAAATTCTTATAAACATAAGACTTACACAACTAATACTAAGAATCCTACCTATTAACAGACTCATAATAACCTAAAAAACCCGCCACTGCAACTGCCAAAAACTCCATTGCAGAGAGCTTACATAAATACACAAAAGATAAGAACCTAACATAAAAGTGCTGTTACAACAAATGAAACATGTTTTTTTTCTTACGTTTTAAGAATAGAATCCCAATCAATCTCGGAAGGGTATTTCGACAACATAAAATTTTCTGAAGACGAAACAACTTCAGGCCATGGCTGTTCGTTGAAATCCGAGAATGTAAGATCTGACAAAGGTGAAGATTCTGCTGACCCCTCACTCTCCGATAGAACCGGAGACAACGATGAGTTCTCCACCTTCACTGTCTTTTCCTCAGGCTCAGGCTCAGGCTCAGGCACGTGAACTTCGTTGTTGCTTTTCTTCTCAACTGTCTCCCTTGATGATTTTTTCTTCCTTCCTTGCTTTTGATTTAGTTCCAAGCTTTCACAAATGGCTTGTAGCTTAGCATCAACATAGGAATGTAAAGGCTTGTATTCACCAAAATCGCCTCCGATGTGGGAACCTTGGTGGCGAAGGTTAGGGAAGTTGAGTCTCGCAAAGTCACCTCTAAGTTTATAGGCTGCTTTATCATAAGCCAAGGCTGCTTCCTCAGCTGTGTCAAAAGTGCCTAACCAAAGACGTGTCCGGTTTTTAGGTAGCCTGATCTCAGCAACCCATTTTCCCCAGTGACGTTGCCTAACTCCTCTGTAAAGCTTGGTGGGTTTTGGAGGTGAACCCATCTGCTTCATTGGTACGGGTTTGGGGCTAAGAAAGCTGAGCATATGGTTGCTGTTGCTGTTGGGTTGGCAGTTTTGATAAAGGTAGCTTGGTAGGTTGTCTTGGAGCGGGAATTGAGCCTGGATCTGGTGGATCTGAGCTTGGGTTAAGTTGTTTAGCCCAATTTTTGAACCAGGTTGAGGTTGTTGCTGCTGTTGGAGACCTGAAAATTGGTCAATTGTTGTGGAGTAACAACCATCTTGGTAAAAACTGGGTTGTATTTGAGCAGAAGACAGGTAAGAAGTAGAAGAAAGATAAGAAGGGGAAGGAGAAGAGATAGAAGAGTAAGAAGGAGAGGGGGAAGGGCAAGAAGAGGAAGAGTATGAAACACTTTTCATAAAAGGTTCAAGTGCTTCCATCAACTCTCCACCATACAGATCTGATTGAACTCCTCTGCTACTATGGAAATCCATTGTAGAAGCCATCTCTTAAAAACAAAAATAGATTGAGACTTGGATAACAACAGACTCAAAATAAAAAAGTAACCTGTTTCTTACCAAAACTTAAGAACAGGCTTCGGAACAAAAAAAAAAAAAGATTTAAGGATTTTTTTTCTAAAAAAATATAACTCCTTGAAACCCAAGATAGCCTAAAAAATAAAACTTTTGAGGGACCAAAAATCACCCTCCAAGCTGATTTTATCTAAAAAAAAATTTGGAAAAAGGTCTAAAATTTATCTTGAAAAACAAATATGGGAACTTGCAGAAGAAAACCTGGATCTCGATTCTGAAAACACCTGGCTTTTCAAGAAATCCTTGCCTAAGTTTGCTTTCTACCCAATGTTAAGTACTGAAAAACAAACCCAAAATTCAGATTTTTTTCTCAAAGACAGATGATTAACAGAAAGGGATTCAGAGAAGCGGGGTGTAACAGAAAAAAGGGGAAAGAATGTTAAAGAACAAAACCAAAATCGCTAAAAGTGTTTAGATCTCACAAAAAATCACTTTTTTTTTTCTCACTAGTTTTTGGTGTAATTGACTCTCAGCCTCACTCTGTTCATTGTGGCCAGCTCCTTTCACTTTATATATAGAAGTTCAGCTCCTCAATTAACTCTCTTAATTACAGCTGTTAATCACGATTAACACTCCGTTTTAACGTCTCTTGTTTATTTTTAATTTTTACGTCCCCCTCCACCGTACTCAGCTCTGGTTTCCTGACGTAAGACTATTCAATCAGTGGTCTTCTACCACTAATATCTGACACGTGTAAATCCGTGTTCTATTACTGACATCTGTCTTCTCAAGTACCGTCAGGTGTCGGTGGACACGGATTTAATTGACTCCAGTGTATGTTGACCATTCTTGCTTGTGTTCACACTACTTTTTTTTTTTTTTTTGTAATGAAAAGAAAATTGATATATAAAAATAATAAATTAGAAAAAAGGTTATTATATTAATTAAGTCACTATTTATAATAAAATTTTATTTTAATTGTATCAATTGATAATTTTAATGTATTAAAAATAATAATTTGTTTAATATGATAATTTTAATAAATATTTTAAAGATAAAAAAATTAGTTAGCAAAACTCATAAAACAAAATAAAATATAAAATAAAATAAACCAGTATGATTTTTTAATTCATAAGATAAGGTTTTTGTACTTGAAGGAAAGGGCAGTTGATAAATGGTTGTCACGTTATTAATGCACACCAACTTGCTTCCATTTTGGGTTTTGACCAATTCAAGAACTTATCACTTCTAGTTTTTTTTTTTTTTTCAATGATACCAAATTTTTAACTTTTAAATTTATATTTTTTATGCCATAAAATTATTTTTTAATAAAAATATAGATAATCAAATATTTAAATAATATAAAATTTAAATATTAGTTAGAAAAAAAAATGGTTCTTTTAACGAAAATACCAAGGAAAACGAGTAGTACATTATTGGTTAAGAAACCATTATTTGTAATTTTAAATCATTGTTTATGAGATATAGTGATATATTATTAAATTGGATTATCATAACTATTTAATATAATATTTAAATTTTAAAAATTTTTAATATAATTTTTAAATTATAAATCTATCAATTATTGCAATATTTACTTTTAATATCATTAATTTCAAAGAATAGCATATAATTAATAATTAATTTTTAAAATATAATATTAATTAATAAATTTATAATTTAAATATTACGTTAAAAATGTTTAAAATTCATATAACAATGAAATATTTTATTATAATTTATAATCATTTGTGATATTATTCCTACATCAAATTTGATAAGAACAACACATCAAATCAAAATATTTCTTAAGCATGTTAAGAGTTCTTACAATCATTTGTTGATAATTTATTTTAGTTTAATAATAATTAATGAAATTATTATTATTATTATTATTATTATTTGAAAATTTAGATGAAAAAGGTATTTGAAAACTATATATACATATATATATTTATATTTATATTGGGCTACGGAGATGACTATGATAGAAAATAAAGCAATTTGAAAGAGGGGGAGGGAGTGGGCATCCCATCATTAATTATCCTTCATTGTATATATCCCAAATTCAACGCCAGCATACTTTTCACGATCTTATGTTTAATCTTTAAGGGGGGGGGGACTAATCGGTGTTCCTATATGCTAGTCAAGGTGTTATATAAGAAAAAATGCATTATTTTTATTGAATTTTTTAAAGTAATGTATTAAATAAAAATACATTTTTAAAAATAATATTTTAATTAATTGACACTCATTAGCTAAGCTCGAAATATAATAATTAAGATTTAATTACTGAATTTATAAGAAATTGGTTGAGAATAATTAAATTATTATTTTAAAATTTTTGAATTTAATACATTGCTTTCACTAAATTCAACAAAAATGCATTAATAACATATTTTGTTATTTAAATATGATGTTAATGAATATAATTAAAAAATTTATATTTGATATATTATTTGTGGATATATTTTATACACAATCAATAAATTAAATGATGGTATTTTTATTAAAATAAATTATATGATAACACTTTATTTATAAGTTTTTTAAATAATATTAATTTTTACATATTTATTTTAAATATTGATATTTATTCATTAATAAGTTATTATCATTTGATTTATTGATAGTGTATAAAATTTATATATTGATAATATATCAAATATAAATTATTAATTAAATACTTAATAATATTTTTATAATACAATGAGATTTTAATTTAATAGCAAGGAAGACATCTTAAGAATTTGATTTAAATTTCTGTTAAATTTGTTTAATTATATTTTTGTTAGTTGGTTATTTTGTTTGTTTAATTATTTAATATTTTCTTATATTTGTAAATTAAAAAAATAACATTTCCCTAATTATTATTACTAATGAAATATAATTTGGATGATACTGAAAAACGTACCAAAAGATAATTAATGAGTTAATTAAATTTATGATCCAAACAATTTACATAGGAACGTGATAATGAAGAAACTGACAACCGTCGATTAAGAATTAAAAACTTGACGTAATCATTTTATATCCAACGGTTGAGGCCGTCCACTTGATGTCATCACTTGGAAAAAGTCAAAAGAGCATCGTCAAATGGAAATTGCCAACGTGGTAGAATTTAAGGGCTTAAATTTTTTATTATCTTTTTCTGAGACTTGACCGAGGGTAAATTGAGTTGACTATAGTTAAGTTTACAGCTCAACAAGTCACGTGCGGAGGCTGTTGGGTAGAGTCTGACAATCTCTACATTTGCGGTGGCAGTTACTGGAGGGGCAGAGACCCCTGAATGGAGTCCTTGAATCACTGGTGAAGTGTTTGACCCACGCTCAGAGGCGGCTCGTTCTGTGCAACGTAGATGTTTGTTACTCATTAGCCCTTGCAGCAGCAGTTGCTAGAAATAAAGAAAGAGCGTAATTTGGGCCAGATAATTAGATTAGGGAGTGGCGAAAATCTTAATCCCCACTGCAATGAGTTCCATTATGTCAGGTCTCCTTAAATATATAATTTTAATCATGATATAATAATATTATAAATATAATTTAAAATTTTAATAAAAATTAAATTCGCTAAAAATAAAAAAATATTTTTTATTTGATATATTAATGAGTATTATAATATAATAATTTTTATATTTTATATAAAATAAACATGATACAAATATACGGGTTGATATATTTAATCTCTTGAGATTTTTTTTTTCAGGATTAGAAAAGAGGAATAAGAAAAAGGATGATGAACTAAAAATATTTTAAATTTCTTAATAGAATTAACTATTTTATCAGGAAATAAATGATAATTTTAGTAATTATTGGTAAAGAAATTATATTTTCTTTGAAATTTTTTTTAGGATGAAAATTTTCATATTGTTTAATAATTATATAACTATTATAAAAACGAACTTGATATTTTATATAAAACACAAATAATTAAATAAAAATTAAAAAAAATTTCACCCCAACTCAATGATTGTTAAATAACGATAAAATCACGTACAAACTCAATTAATCATATTTATTTCACGTATATTTTATAAAAATTTTTAATAAAAAAATTAAGGCAAGATTACTGCTAGACGCCACTGTTAATGATTTGAGAAGCATGGTGGCCGCCAAAAAAGAGAATAGAGATTGAGTTTTGATGGAAGAATGGTGTTATTTAATATACTCATTGTATTACAAAGTCATAGGTAATGCAAATTGAAAATTAATCGATATTCAAAGCTTTCATATATTGACAGAATCTTCATTTGGACAAAAACTATTTGACATAAGGTTTTCATGGATGCTACGTGTTTCAAATGAGTACCATAGAGTTTTGAAATGGAACTTCAGGGTTGATGTCATTACGACGAACACATGTTTTAGTCGGTTAAGATATGGTGGTGTATAAATTCTTTAAATGGTTTGTAGACATCAATTATGTCTAATTTTATTTTAATATAAATATAATTTTATTTATATTATTATTATTATTATTAATTAATTAATTTTTTTTAAAAAAAAAGTACAAAAGAATTATTTCAATTTTGATAGCTAAAATCAAATTGTCCGAAGATTTTTTTTTCCAAAAGGTTAGTGCATTTAATGCACCAAAACTCTACATTATTTAATTTGACAATATGAAAAGATCATCCAATAAATCTTCATTTTTTTTTCAAAAAAATTGTAAAAAGTCTACAAAATTTGAGATTTGAACTTCTAATTAGCTCTATAAATAGAGCAAATTTTTGCAAAGAACAGAAGACGAGGAGAAAAACTTAAGGGAACACTGCCAGAAAAAAACACAAAGGAGATAGGGGTTCTACAAAAAAAAAAAAAAGAAACAAAAAACACACACAAGCAAAAAAAAATCACAACCCTTTTTTATAGAGAACCAACAACAAACACATAAAAAATTCAAAAAAAAAAAAACTCCATAAATGAAATTATCAATTTAGGAGGTTTGAGACATTTTTTTGAAAAATCCAATTTTAAAAGAGTGTTTAGAAAATAAAAAAGATTAATCTAAAAATTTTTGAGATTTTTTTGAAATTGTTTTGAGTCGTCTGAATCTATGAAAATTTAAATTTTCTGGCGATCGATTGAAGATTCTTGCACCAAAAACTAGAATGACGATCAGAAACTAAGTACCTTTGAATTTTTTGACGTCGTTTAAAGATTTCGGTTACCAGTGCATGACGGCAATCGATCGAAATTTGGGCTCCACGGTGGCTAACGAGAGATTGGGTTTTTTAGAAAAAAAGGGTATGATTTTTAGAGAAAAAGGGAAAGAGAAAAAAAAAAGAGCCTTTTATAGGCTGAGTGAAATGGCGTCGTTTTGGGCACTTGATTCGTCTAACTTGTGCTTGACCCATGCCAAGATTCACGTGCAACCTACCTGTTTACTTGACCCATTAGGTAGGTATTCTTTTTTTATTTTATTTTCTTTTTTTATTTTGATTTTATTTATTTTATGTTGATTTTGATTTTTTTGTTTTTTTAAATATTATTATTATTATAGAAATAAGTAAAAATTAAATTAAATTAAAAAATGTAGATTAGGTAAAAATAAAAA